CCTCCTCCTCCTCCTCGGTCCTCCTCCTCCTCCTCCTTCTCCTCCTTCTCCTCCTCCTCCTCCTCCTCCTCCTCCTACTGTTGCCATTTTGGCTCGATCCCTAGCTCGGCGCCGCGGCTCGCGCCTGCGGCTCAAAGCCAAAGCTCGAAACTACTGCGCAGACAAACAGGGCATCGCCCGATGTTTGCTGCGCCGAATGATTAAGCGAGATTGCTGTGGAACGCTCGCTTTTGCGCGCGCCAACTGCGCTTGATCGCGCGATCGCATGTGATCTTCATATGCGACCAGCTTTGTCAACGCTGGCCAATGCTTACAATAACGGCCAACGCTTAAAATAACGGCACATGCTTAAACTATGATTTCACGCTTGTTTTAACCGGTCTAGGACCTCTGGGTCCTGGGCGCTCCCCCCCGGCCGGCCAGCTCCTGCTTATCTTGTTACTAGCTCAGAGCTTAACGGACGCCCTACCACGCCCGTCTCGCCATGGCATGGAGGGATGCGTCCCCATATATGCGTTGAAGATACACTTTAGCGAGAGACCACTACAGGAAAACGATGAGGATGAATATATACGATGCGATCATGCGCACAATATGCCTATCAACATCTTTAGTAAAGAGCCCATATCAACACATATTTGGCAACGTGCTCTCTCTATGCGCATGGTCGGGTGTCGAGCAGGGCGAGGATCGCGAGAGGGCGCGCGATGCATGGTAGAACACGACGCGGCGTGGCGTGGAAGAGCACGGCAGAGTGCAGCATGCCATAGCACGGCGTGGCACTGCGCAGTGAAGCGCTGCATCGCAAATCATGGCATCGCACAGCGGCGCAGAATGCAATGCAGCACAGCGTGTCATGGAATGGCGCCAGGTCCTCAGGAGGGTAAGTGGATCGTCTTCGAGAGGCCTGGGCCGGGCAGGAGTCGTAGCTCCATGTCTAGGTCTTTTGGGTTCCCCGAGAAGCCCCGCGCAAGGGGGGGCTGATTGGCGGCACCCACTGCTCTGCTTTCGTCATCAAAAAATCAGCGAATTCACGCCGAATATGCAATGCAATTCCAATGGTTTCTGCGGGGAGTTTTTTTTTATACCGGGCCCATTTAGAAGCAACAGGCGCTGCAGCGGGGGCGCGATTCGGAAAGAGCGGAGGCGTGGAAATGAGACCAGCGTTGTAGCGGGAGCACGATTCGGAACAGATGGAAGTCCGAAAATGAGGCCAGCGCTTCAGCGGCAACAGCATTTTGAACGAAAAGTCCAAGTGACAGTTCATTTCCCGGGAGTCCTGTCGGCACAGAATACGCAGAGGGGGGCCGGACATCTTCCGGGCGTCATCAGGGGAGAGAGGAGTGTAGCATTCACATTGCGTAGTCGAAGAGGAGGGGGAGGGGGAGGAGGAGGATGAGGAGAAGGAGGGCAGAAGCCTCTTGGAAGCCTGTCGGAGTCTCTCCGGATGTCTCTTGCGAGCGTCTTGGAGCCCTCTTGGAGCGATTTCGGGGAGTCTTGGCGGCCCTCGGGGCCTCTTCAGGGCAGCGACCAGCTGGTGATCTCGAGGCGCCTCCGCGCGCTGGTCAAGGTCGGCGTCGACTTCAAGGACTGCCCGAAGCGGTGCTTGGCATGGTTGAGGGGGCCCCTCGACTGACAACGACGACGTGGGCAGTCGCTGGGGCAAGATCAACCCTCACATCGACGAGGCGTCTGGCTTGCGTGAGCGCGTCGGTAGAAGACATCCCGGGCCAGGCGAGGGACGACGCGTTGAACTGCATCTTCTTGCCCCTGATCAAGAAGGGCCACGCTGCGACGCCGCAGATCAAACAACTCAGGGCGATCTTAGCCAACGGGCGCATCTGCAAAAGTGGGGCCAACCAGGGCGTGGTCGACTCTCGCGAAGCAGCCTTGTTGCGCGCGACTGTTCTGGATACGCTCGGAGACCACTCTTTGGAGACAGTGGCCCGCATTCGAGTTGATTTGGCAGAGTTCCGCAAGATGCAGCATGGCGGTTTTGACAAAGAGTGGGCGTCCTTCAGCCGCGAGATGGACGAGATCGCGTTTTGGTGCGCGAACAAGAACCAGTGGAGGCGCGCTGGCCAGGCCGACATGAAGGAGGCCCCTCTCATGAAGGAGCGGCTGGAGGTCAAAGAAACAGCAGAGTGGCCCGATGCTCAAGGCTACCGTCGAGGACCTTCTGCGCTGGTTCACGACATGCAGGCGCGGCGCCGCAACCCCCATCGCGGGGGCCTTCCTTGAGGCGGCCGATGGAATCGCCGAGGCGTGCGCGAAGGCCAGCGAGCATGAGCGCGAACCCCTTCACGGAGACCTCATCGAGACGAAGATGGAGCCTGCTCGCCTCGAGGATATGTTCACCAAGAACTGTGCTCCGAAGGAAGTGGCCGATCTTTTCGAGGAGACGCTGTCGACGGTGATGGAGAGAGTCCGAGGTTTGGTGGGGCAGGCATCCCAGACATACGCATGTCATGAGGGCGCTGAAGGCGTTTGGCAACAGCGGATGCAATGGCAACGCTGCAAGTGATATCCGACAGGCTCTGCGCTACAACGTTGCGGTAAAGTTCGCTACCGCGGAGCACTGCGTCGAGATCTTCACAGCGGTTGGGCAGATCGCGAACCACTACTTCCTGACTTGCAAGCCCGCCTCGAATGAGGACGTGATGGGGTTTGACCTGGTCAACTTCGGCGCGAACGTGGAGCTCGCCCGTGAGCTCTGCGACCTAGCGGACCCTGCGGAGGAGAATCAGCGATTCCATTCCTTGCAAGGACGTCTGGCCTTCTTGAGCTCGATCGCAGAGGCGCTCGATTCGTGCCGCGCCATGTCGCGCATTGGCAGTGCGGTCGAGCAGGTCACGAACGACGGCGGCCATTGTTTCTCCGAGCGCTTGGTCAAGGCCAGCATCGCCGCCAAAGCCCGCGCGGCCGCGCGCAGTCGACAGGGCGTGCACGAGAACGGGTTCATCCCGCAGAAAACCTTCGATGCGAGCATGCGCTTCGCGATGCAAAAGGTGGGCGATTGGATCCGTAAGTATCAGGAGGCCGACGTGGAGCAGGACCGCATCGAGTTGCAGGACGCGCATGCCAGCTTGGCCAAGCTCGCCTTCTTCTTCGACGACGAGGAGGTTGGTTGGAAGCGCGGCCTCTCGGGCGACGCAGGCGTCGACGACGCGCTCGCGCAGGCGAGGAGGACCGTCTTCTTGATCAAGGGCCTGGCCGCGAAGACGATGACGGCGATCGACGACGCCGAGAAGTGCAATAATAACTTGGAGGACACGGCAGCGAAGTGCACGAAAGACCTGCTGCCTATCCAGCAGGAGACGGTCGACAAGGCTATCGAGGGGATTCGTTTGGCGAATGTGCCGAGGTTCGAGGCGGGCGCCATGCAGGCAGTTTTCGACGAAACGCAGAGCAGTGCTGACAAGACGGTTTCGGTGACATGACTTCTGGACTTGCTCCCCGAGGTGGGGATCTGCTTGACAGACTTCCACGCGTCGGTGCAGAAAAGCATCTACGAGCTGATGCGATCGTGAAGGCTGAGGTTCGATGAAGCTGGAGGCACGAGGACTGGCGCTAGCGGAGGCCGGGGGTCGAAGAAGCTGGATCCATGAGGACTGGTGCTGGCCTTTTCCTGAAGGCTCAGGCCTCGGAGCGGCGCTGGTCGAAACAGCGCTGTTCAGGATATGAAAAACATGAAAATTGGCGCTGGCTCTTCGACGTTCGATCTTGTGTGTTTGGCAATCCGTAAGGGCTTCGCCCCCTGCCGCCGGCCCCCTCTTTCGGAGAATGGGCCACGGAAGAGCTAAGTCATGAGGCCTTGACGCTGTCGTGAAGCAGTATCGAAACTTCATGCGAAGCCGAGTGGCAATCAGCAAAACCAACTGATCACAAGAGGGGTTACCACACCTGGCGATTGGTAAGACGTGTATGGTTTAAGGGTTTGGTTGCCACACCTTGCGATGAAAGGGCCGAGGGAGTTCTCGCAGTTTGGGTTACCACGCCTTGCGATGGATGTGCGTGATGGGCTCGAATTTCAGAAATGTTGCAAATCCCCTGTGTTTTTGGACCCTGACCCAGCGGATCTGCGTAAGTGGTGGCGCCGAATTTCAGAAATGTGGCAAATCCCATGTGTTTCTTGACCCTGCCCCCGCGGATCTGCGTGAGGGGTGGCACCGAATTTCAGAAATGTGGCAAATCCCCTGTGTTTTTGGACCCTGACCCCGCGGATCTGCGTGAGGGGTGGCACCGAATTTCAGAGATGTGGCGAATCCCTTGTGTTTTTGGACCCTGACCCCGCGGATCTGCATGAGGGGTTGCACCGAATTTCAGAAATGTGGCGAATCCCTTGTGTTTTTGGACCCGGACCCCGCGGATCTGCGTGAGGGGTGGCACCGAATGTCAGAAATGTGGCAAATCCCCTGTGTTTTTGGACCATGACCCCGCGGATCGATTTCGAGCCCACCCAGCAATTCAGACAACGCGCCCAGGGGAGGCTAAAAATCTTGTTTGGGCCTCCCCCCCCTCGCGCGGTCAATCAACTAGTTACAGTAACCAGCAAGAAGTCAACTAGTTACAGTAACCAGCAAGAAGCAGAACTGTAACACTGGAAACTACAAACTACAACTGGTACAGGAAACTGCGAATCACGGTCCTACAGCCTGGTGGCCCCACAAGGGGGCCGGCGGATATCGTCTAAATGCTGGTGCCTCTCCGCCTGCTTCGCGTTGGGCCTCCTTGCACGGGGGAGGGCGCGGGCCTTCTTGGGCACTTTCTCGGTCATAGTTTTTGGATGTTTGTCGGGTTCCTGCGCCCCCCCCCCCTGGGGCCTCCAAAGGTGATGGGGGCGTGGGGCCTAAGATGGATCCAAGGGCGTTCCCAACGAACTCACATAGAGCGGATTTTGCTGTAGCGTCCGCTGATTGCGCATCGCGTGTCGATTTCAGAATCCATGTGGCACCCCTGTCCCCAGATGGGCCCCGAGAGATCCTGAGAGGGATCCGATCCTTGTGCACTTACACTCTCCAGCGCTTCAGGCCCCCCCGAGGGATATCATGTGGCGACCTCTTCGTGAAACGTTGTACTTTGATATTTTCGAGGCACCCTTGACGCCCTTACGGGGAACTCAATGGGTCTCCTGATTCATGATGGCGGTATCTTTGATGGTAGTTGATGGCTTTCTCGCGGCGGGAGGATACCTGAAGACCTCACGTTTTCTCCTCCTCTTCCTCCGCCTACTTCCCCGTATTTTGTCCCATGGTACTGTTTTGAGAGTTTGGACGTGTCGATGGGGCCTCGTGGGGCCAGAAACAAAACCCATCAAAACCCCATGCGATAATTTCATCAAAAACCAAGGCGCCAACACAAGGCCCATAGCCTTAGAGAATGAGCACCTTAACTGAATGGGTAAGATTACCATCATCGATCCATGCGGTGAACACCTGCCATCTGTCACCCTGGTCACGATGAAGCACACATATTTGCTTCAAGATCGTCTGTATCCGATGCCAATGCAACTGGGACGCCGAATGCTTCGGCATGATGTCCGAAAGTTCCGCCAGAGACTGTTTCAACGTGCCTTCGTGGACGGGGATGTGAGCGAGAAGGTCTCTGATGCGTAATCTGATGCGGGCGCCTCCCTGTGGCCGCGCGCATCGGCCCTCGTTTCCTCCTCCCTCTGCCCTCTCGAGGACGCCGAGGACTGCCCACCACGTTGTTTAGCTTGGCTTTGGCATCTGTTACGTTTGTCGTTTCGTTGTTCGTTCTTGTTTCGTTGCGTTGTTCGATTTCGTCTTCACCGCCTCGTGTCGTCATGATTCGTCTTGTTTGGCACCGATGCCGATGTCGTTTTCAGCGTTCGATTCAAACGTTGGGGATTTGTTGTTCGTGTTCCGTTTTTCGTTTTCAACATCGTCGTGGTCGGTACTCGGAAGAAGGGCAAACACGGATCAAGGCGCGTGGATAAGCGAGGGGTCCCGTTTCCATGCAGAGTCGGCGCGCTCCGCAACCAAATCGGGCGGCACTGGCGCTAGCTCTCGGAGGAGCCTTCCCTGATCCATGGATCTTGCGACCGCGTGCCAGATCCACGTATCCCTGATCCATTTTAGCGTGCGCCCGACCTGGCGGCAGGAGTGCCCCCCCCCTCCACGCCCGAGGTGCCCTCCCAGTGGTGAGGCTCATCCTCTTGCCTTGCGACGACGACGACGACGACGACGAAGACGACGACGACGACGCCTCCCAGGAGGAGCACGACCTGCAGCCCCTGAAGGCGCGCCCGTGCCGCGTCCTCTGCCCGCCGTGTGCCCGCCGCCCTCTCGCGGAGGGCCCGCGCCCGTGCACGCCGCCCTCGGCGCCCTCGGGGGCTGCACGCGGCGTGGCGGGCTGGCCAGGCAGAGGCGTCCGCCTCCGGGGCCGTGCCCCGGCTGGGGTCGGAGCAGACAAGGTCGGTGGATCACGCAGCATCGCCGATGCATCGGGGATGGAACCCGATGCGGAGCCCGATTTTCTCCACGCCGACATCGGCAGTGCATCGGCGACGTCGTCGTGGCGGACTGGCCAGGCAGCACAGGCGTCCGTCTCCAGGCTGTGCCCCACCGACCTCCTCCATTCCTCTGCCAGATCTCTTGGATCGGCGTTGGGCCAAGAACTTAGGTTTACGCCTGCTCTTGTGGCTCTGACCCCGTTTTTCGTCTCCTCCTTCCGTGGCTGATCCGTGCTCGATGTGTTCACCAGGAGCCGGCTCCGCGGGGTTTTGCCTTGCCTGACCTTCCTCCCTCCCTCCCTCCGTCTCTCGAAGAAGAGCATCTTATGCAAGCGGTCAGTGCCAACCGCGGACCAAAGCTCTGTGTTGAGTGCGCGCCAGACGCAAGTCCTTGTCATCCCTGGGGGCCACAGGAGATCGGTCGTGGGTCGTGGTGGTGGCGGCTGTCATCGGCCTCATCGTCTTCGTCGTCGGCGACGAACGCGGCAACGACGGGCGGCGACGACGGACGAAGACGGCGACGACGTCGTCGTCGGTCGCCACCGTCGCCCGTCTCCCGTCGTCCGTCGTCCGTGGTCATCGTCGTCGTCGTCGTCGTCGCCCGTCGCCCGTCGCCCGTCGCCCGTCGTCCGCTGCTCGTCGTCCGCCGTTCGTCGTTGTCCTCGTCAATGTTGCCGTCCGTCGTTGTCATTCGTCATTCGTCCCTCGTGGTTGTCGTCGTCCGTCGTCCGTGGTCATCGTCGTCGTCGCCCGTCGCCCGTCGTCCGCCGCCCGTCGTCCGCTGCTCGTCGTCTGCCGTTCGTCGTTTGTTGCCGTCCGTCGTTGTCATTCGTCATTCGTCCCTCGTGGTTGTCGTTGTCCGTCGTTGTCCGCCATGGTCCGTTTTTGTTCGTCGTTGTCCGTTGTCCGTACTCCTCCGTGGTCGTCGTATTCCTCCGTTGTCGTTTGTCGTTGTCCTTTCCTTGTGGTCGTCGTCGTCGTCGTCGGTCGGTGGTTTCGGTCGTTCGTCGTCGTGGTCGTTGTCGATCGTCGTCGTACGTTTGACGAGGAGGAAGTTGAGGCGGATGAGGTGATCGGGGCGGAAGAAAGTGGCATTGCTTTTCTTCGACGAAAATTGCTTCTGTTGGTGCGTCCACCCTCCGCTTCGCTGTGTGTGGGCGTCCAACGCCTGACTTGGTGATGTCTTGCCAGGAGGCCGCTTGCTAGGCTGAATGCCACCGAATCGTGCCAGCCAGTTCGCCTGGAGTGGGGAAGGGATGAAGGAATAAAGATTTCGGGAGTTCGGGACCCTGACAACGTCAGAGCAATACTCGCAGAAGAAATGCGGCACCATTAGAATTTCTAAGAAGTCGGCGCGGATTTCTCGGATCGTCGCTGGGCCCCCACTGCCGGCGCCTCCGGCGTCGCCTCTTGCGAACGGAGCGCGCCAGGGAGGGGGGTCCAGCGCCGATCCAAGAAATCCACGCAGACCTTCGAGGAATTATGTTCATGTAGTTTTTCCCGAATCAGTGCTTGCACTGAAGGGGTCCTAGCGGAGGTTGAAGGATTTGGCGAAAGTTTCCCGCCGATTCGGTCGCACGATGGGTTCGGGGTTTCCGGTTCCGGGTACCCGGGTTCCGGTTCCCGCCCGGGCCGATTTCGGTGGGCGGCGAGGTTCCCAGGTTCCCGGGTTCCTGGTCGATCTTGTTATCGATCGGTCTCAGCATCTAACTCGTTTCCCACCTCTCTATCGATCTCACCATCGATCTCACAATCGATCTCACAAGCGATCTCACTAGACCTCGCCCGAGCGATCTCGCGATCGATCTCACTATCGATCTCATTGAATCGATTTCACTCTCGGTCTCACGATCGACCTTACAATCGTCCTCTATCGATTCCACGATCGATGTCATTATCGAGCTCACAATCGACCTCGAGACCCACATGACTAATTTTCAAGTCATCCACTGATTGCGGTTTTCTCATGTGTAATTTAATCCTCTTCGTGCGGAGACAGGCAGGCACTTGCCAACGAACGAGGTGGATATTGGCCAAGAGGAAGATGAGGCGGACCCTTCATGACGTCAACCACCAGAGATCTCGACCCATTCCCCGGGACCAGTGTTTCATCCAAAGTCATGTTTTGACGGTCCCGAGGCTCGGTAAGGGTTTCACGCGTCCAGGCTACACAAGTGCGCATGCCCAGCGGGAGCAAGGTCTCTCCCCCAGCGGCGCGTTAGTTTTGAGCAGGCGCGCGGTCGCCGCCGCGAGGGCCAGACTTTTTCTGCAAAGGCCTCCAGAGGCTGAAAATAGCCCCAAACCAACCTCCCGCCATTCTTTTTTCATGACTTGAGGGGGTCTGGGAGAAACGAGGCGAAGATTGGTCAAGAGGAGGATGAGGCGGATGAAATTTGGCTCCGACCCTGCACCCGATCCGATTCACTGCGATCCCTGTTTCGCCGGCCAGGGGGCCGCGATTCCGATTCGATTCGATGCGGCTCGATTCGCCGGCATCGGCCTGGGCCAGGGCCAGCCTGAGCCGGGCGTCGATCTGAGTTTGGTTCGAGTCGGTGCGTTGCCGATTCGCTGGCGATCCGATGCGTTGCTGATCCGATTTCGCGAGTCGATCCAGCTCAGGCCGGCCTGCCCAGGCGCGCAAGTTCCGGGCGACGTTGGACCAAGGCACCCGTGGGGACGCTTCGACGGGCAGTTCAGAGTGCTCGGAGTCCCTGGAGCCATCCCGCGGTCCTGAGTATCTAGACCCCCTCGAGTCATGAAAAACACCACGGGAAGTTCTTGGCTGTTTTCAGCCTCTGGAGGCCCTTACCGGGCCTAGGGACCGTCAAAGCGGGGAGTGGGTCGAGACCTTTGGGGGGGGGTCTGGGTCATGCACGAATCATGACGTCGGGGGTATGGGTGAGGATGTCTCACGCGAAAGCCATCCGGCGCGAGAGCTCGGCGGAGTTGCCCGGGAGGGCTCGCGAAGGGCGCGTTCCTTTTCCCGCTCGAGGCGGCTCAAGGGCCCTAAACGGCAGCGGTCAGCAGCAGTGCAACGGCAGGAGGAGGGCGGAGGAGAGAAGACAAGAAAGGATGGAGAGAATGAGCAATAATGAACAAGAAGAGGAATGAAGTCGATTCACAACCTCAACCTCTTTTCTTCTAAAAGTGGCCAAAGGTTGGCTCAGCTGTCAGTCAGTAGTTGCTGTAGTCGTCTTCTTCTCTCTCTTCTTCTCTGCGCGCTTCGCAGCTTTCTTTGCTTGCCGGGCAGCGCTCGGGAGAGGCCTTCTCATGTTCCTGTCGGAGGACAGCCTCAGCTCGGGAGCCCGGTCTGCCTTCGTGAAGACGTGGCTCCTGTCATTTGTGGCTTTGTCGTCTCCATCGCACGACAATATCCCGCCAGACTCCGACGAATCGGAAAGATCAGAACAATCCTCTCTGCTGCGAGATAATGACAGGACACGGCGTCTCTGGTTTTATGCGATCCGAAATGTAATCCGGAACGCTAGGAGCACTCACTTCACGGCCAGCATGCCTACCACGACGTTGTTCCCAGTCGGCCCTGTCCCTCCTCGCCTTCTGTCTATCCCTGAGCTTTCTGGCAGACACGTCATGGCCCATCTGAGGGACACCCCGGCGGTACAGGTGATCGTGGTATTTTTCTGGCTTGCCATTGGCATCATTATCAGCATCCTTGATACGATTGTGCATGCAGATTGCCTGTTGCGTTGCTTGCAGCTCCCTTTGGGCTAAGTCCACGGCCCGCTCGACCTGTCGTTCCCGGGACGTGTCCTGCTTGTTCTGCAGCTTCTGCATGGCCCGGCGTTTGGTGCACATCATGGTCAAGGCGCTGCACTGGAGCTGCCGCTCCACGTTGCTCAAGCGGCGCGGTGGCGGAAGCGCCGCGAGCTGCTCTTCGGCTGTGCGCCCTGCCGGAGGGGCCGGCGAACGCGTTTTCGACGAGGTTATTGGATGCGGAGGTCGAGCCTTGCTCGTGCAGCCGGGCGCTGCCGGCACCCTGGCGCCGATGGCAGTGGCAACCATCGCGCAAGCGACCGCCTTTCCCTCAGCCGGGAAACCCAGCCGCGAAGGTTTAGTTGACGACGCTGCGTTGGCACTTGCTGGTGGTGCGGTGGCCGGCTTTCTCGCTGAGGTGAACGTGAGGGTACCAGACCAGATATGTGCTAGAAGCTTCTCTGGGTTGGATTTGTCCTTGGTGAGAGGATCCGCAACCGTTTCAGAATCTGGCGTCCACAGCAGTTCCAAGGGAAGTACCTTGTCACAGTGCTTGGGAATCCATGAAACGACAGCTTCACGAACTCTCTGGAACGCTGGAGTAAG